CTGGGGAATTCTGGGAGTTGAAGTCCACTCATCTTAACGTTCCCAAGGTTGTGAAACACTGCTCTAGACGCATTCATGAGAACTGTGTTGCTGAAAATTCCTGAGAAAGGGTTGCATGATGAGTGGCCAGCAGAAGGGAACACAAAGAAATGGGAGATAGCTCAAAACACAGGAGGACCCATTAAGTCAAAATAAGTAGAAGCCGTGACTGGCCATTGAAAGTTTAAATGTATAATAAGACTGGTTCAATTTCAAGTTGTGCGCTGAGAACTTGGGTGAAAGGTCACAGTCAAACACAGATTTATTTCCAGTTTGATAAGCTTTGGTTTATTATCCCAAGGACTGGCACAATGGCGTGTTCATCCTTCTTCTCCTTTATGTGCAAGGGACAGTATCTTCCACTTACAATTTTTGGTAAATCTTTGATTGGGGTTAACTTCTCTCTGCCTGTGCACATTCTTCTTAGATTTCCATTTGAAAGGGGACACATAATTGAGCTTTAGAGATCAGTTTGCCATTATGGTATTTCAATACCAGAGATTTTAATCGGCTCCCCCGTCAGCACACGCCACACTCCCCATACAGAATGAAAAGTCTCTCCCCAACAGATGTGGCTGCAGTTGAAGTAGCCATAAAGAACAGGGTGAATCCAACCTTATTTTCTACGTGGGCTTGAACACTTCGTGATTGTTAGTGAGTTTTAGGATTCAGTCTGAGGACTAAAATTCAAAATTTTTGGCAGGTAGAGGAAAGCTTTTGATCATGATGGTTTTGCTTAGATGTGCAACACCCAGATCATTGCAAACTATTATCCAGGAAACCAAAGGTTATCTCCTCCTTGCACACAGTACGTTATCTCTCCTTGTTGTAACTTCTCTGTATAAGCCACAACGATGACATTTGGGGGGGGCAGGTTTTGGATTATTGTGTAGTCATGCAAAGCGCACAGCAAACCACCCACCTTTCCTTTGGAGCCTATTCCACCATGTTAATCATTCACTTTTTCCTAAGCGTTCCACGCATTTCATATATATTATCCCAATAAACCTTGGAGGAAATCTGCAATGGAGCCATTCCCTTCCCAATGTGGAAGGTGGATTAGAAACAGAAGGCAGCCAACTAATGCCAAGAGACTAAAAACATAGAGTTGACATTTAACATTGTGGTTTGTTTTAATCTGCTGCATTAGCTAGAACAGTGTTGTCCAAACTTGGCCACTTTAAGATGAGTGGACTTCAACTCCGCATTAGCTAGAGCAGTGTTGTCCAAACTTGGCCACTTTAAGATGAGTGGACTTCAACTCCGCATTAGCTAGAGCAGTGTTGTCCAAACTTGGCCACTTTAAGATGAGTGGACTTCAACTCCGCATTAGCTAGAGCAGTGTTGTCCAAACTTGGCCACTTTAAGATGAGTGGACTTCAACTCCCAGAATTCCCGAGCCAGCCATGAAGTCTTCAGGAGTTGAAGTCCACTCATCTTAAAGTGGCCAAGTTTGGACAACACTGAGCTAGAGTTATTGAAATCTTAGGAGTACGATGCACCAGAGTATCTAGCAAAAACATAGACTCCAGTCTTTGTTCCAGATTTAAGGATTCCCCACCATCTACTGCAGGGTAGAGAGGACTTTCTTTCATGGTAATGTTGGGATGGGTAAATCTGTGGTCCCCCAGACATGGACCCACAACTTGATTGCCATCTATTAGCCATGCCACATGGAGCTGGTGGGAACCAAACCTCACCTGGCCAAGGTCAGAGGTTCCTCACTATTCCTTCAAGGCTCTTTTCATAACTTCTTCAAAAGACTTACATGTTAATGTTAGTGAAGCTCCATTTCCTCATCTAGTCTGCTCTTGTTCTAGAGCCTTTTTTTTTTTACCTGCAATAGCAACCATTGGTACTATCCTCAGAGAGACAAGAGTTCTGAAACTCAGCAAGCTTTTCCACAGATAAAACCCTTCCTATTTTTACTTTCTTAATTTAAGAGAAGTTTTTTCGTGTCTGTCTCCCAATCTAGCAGTTCATATGGAGTTCAGATCATCCTTGCCTGGGTGTAAGCACAGAGGACACTTTGTAAAATGACTTTGCCTCCAAGGGAAAATGCAGCATGTCTGTCCTAAAAACAAGGCATAGAGAATATAGAAAGAGGCAACAATAAAATAATGAAATAATGATAGTAACAATAACAACAATAATAATAAAAAGCAATGCCACTTACTGTCTTCTGTTCATTATATTTTATTCATACTTTTTATTCCATTTCTTTTTCTAGCTACTTTACATTAAGATTTTGGCTTTGTAGCCTTTGTAACTCCTAGCTTCTATCAGTCAAGCTTGTGGTGGTTGATGATTTTTGTTTGTTTTTTTCATTTTTATTTTTGTAATCAACTTATATTAGACCTCGCGCACAGCGCAAAGTTTAGTATAGATACAGACTCGCACAGACAGCTCCTATGCACACGCACACTTGCGCACACAACCTCACACACGCGTACACACAATCAGGGGATCTTTAGCATGTGGCCCAGCTCCAGAGTTATGTTATAATTGTCCCAGATCCTTCCATCTGTAAGGAATTTGGGGAAGGTGGGAAAGGAAATATTACTTGGCATTTTGTCCATTCCCCTTTATATTTCCCCTTTGGAAAATCTTCCTCTCTTTAGGAGGTCAAAAAGTAGCTGGAGAAAAGTGGCAACTTAAGACTACTATGAGTTGTGGAGATTTCATCCAAAGTGTCATGCTTAATATTAGAGAGTGAGGAAGAGGAGGGCAGAAGAGAGATGGATTCACTCCTACCATCATTATCATGTAGGGAACAATCTTGAAATGGCTACTAGTTCCTGCTTTGGAGCTGGGTTGCTGGAAACTGAATAGCTCCCCCAAATCTACCAACAGGAGCTCAGGATTGCTAGGAGGGTTTGACCCATGGAGAAAAGTCCCCAGAGCATCCCATAGTCTTTTGCAATGCTATCCCACCATCACCCAAACATAAATGGAAAACTGAAGGTGGGAAGCTTGTCCTTCATACCTTACAAGAACTCAACTGACCAAAGTAAAATGAGGTAATGTAAACATTGAGAACCACCACCACCTTCACAACAGCCATGGTCAGAAAGAGCAGCAGATCGCGGGCGATAAAGGGAGAACTTGCCTTCCTCTTCATCATGTCAGTATAATCACTTCAGAATGCACCACTACCCAGAAGATCAAAAGCTTAGCATTAGGTCAGGTCACAAAAATCCCAAAGGAGCCAACAGCTGTCCAATGTTGCTATTTTCCAGAAAGGGGAAGGGAGAAAGTGTTCTCAATAGCACAGTGTGGTTGCAGCTGTGACAGTTAACCCTCTCATTTGGCTGATTTACACATCTAGGGATGAATGGCACAAGAATATTCATCTGTGCTTCCAGTCAGCATGAGCCAGATAGCAGAGCACGAGGGAAACAAAGAGCTACACCACAACATTGATCATTATGGAACAAAAAGGTATCATCCGAGACCTTCTGAAGCCTGGGGGTCCCAATCTAACACTTCCCTCAGCAGAAGGAGTCCCTAGTGCCTCTGATGCTCCCTGCTACAAAACTGAGAAGCCAACCATGGACTTTATGAATGGATTGCTCTGGGACTCAAAGGAAATGGCAAGTTATGTTAAAATGAAACCACTAGACTTCACCACCTTGAAATCAGAGCTGGAGGTGGAGGGGGGAGAATACAGAAACTGCTTATAGATACCAAGTGTCCCTTGAAGAAGCCCTTCTGTAGCAGGACAGTTTATCAGTGTGGAATGCATAGAGAAAAGAACAAGGGGTTCAGTTTGCTCACTACAACTCTCACCAACAACAAGATGGATGGATTACATACAGTAAGACTGAAGGGAAGCCAAGGCAGTTGAGTCTGCCATGTCTGTAACCAGATTAGGCACAAGTGACAAGACAGCGAGGGTGTAGCGGGGGAGAGACAGAGAATTATAAATCATGTTTAAACTCAGTTAAAATGAATAAAATATTCCTTGTTTGTGGAATGTACCGCTTAGGCTCAAGCAAATGAACAAACAAGGTGGGCTACAGTGAATTCAAGAATGCAGAGGCATTCACTTCTCAAACACGTTTCCCCAAAATAGAGATTTCTGAATGACGCTCCAAAGTTCTTCCTTGCCCAGTTACAACAGCAGCCTAATTCGCTTCAACCACAGGGGAGAAAAAGGCATGCAGAGTCTCTTCTCTCCATGCAAACAAGTTTGCTCTTTACAGATTGAGAGGCATAACCAGGCCCTTTTCACACATGTATAGGTCTCCTGGATAATGACCTCCATTTTAGACCTGCATAGAAACTACACAAAATCCACCTTCTGATAGGTGTATTTAACACAGTGAAGCGTCTCCTGTACCCCTAACTCTATTCCAAGAGAAGCAAACAGAGTTTCGGCTTATGGGCAAAAACCTGAGGGATTAAAAACAATGCTGCCCCACCCCACAAAAGAGAGTTTTGAGACTTTCTTGCAAAATAAGGGGGCAATACATTTCGTTGGGGTGTTAATGCTCAGTTATGAAAAGACCACATCTTGAATCAAAAGTTCTCTTAAAAATCAAACAAAGAGAAAAAAATACTACACTAAACAATTTTCTTCAGTCTGTCCTGCAAACCATTGTGCCCCCCCCCCTTTCAAAGAAAAAAAAATTGTTTAAATAATAGTAACTCACAACACCCTTGTTAAGTCTTCTGGAAGCAAAACATCACATTCCCTCTTCCCTTTCCTCTGAGTAGAAGACCCATCAGAGACTTCTACCATTTTGAATGAAAGCCCTTATTGGAATAAAATCTGACTGTGCTCACCGAGAAGGGTTTCGGGGCCTCAACAGGAGGCCCTTCTGTCAGAGAGGGACATTATATCCCACCTCACCCCAAAGCTACGAAGCATTTCCGCAGAGCCTGAACAAGCAGCAAAGAGACCCCTAAAGATTGCCAATCAGCAGAATTATGCAAGAATATATATTTATGCAATAAATTACCCAAGAAATCCCCCACACAGTAAGTCCCCCAAATTTACTGTCCACAGTATTCCCAGCTGCACCAAATACAGTATTTGGTGGCCAGAATGGCTGGTAGCCATTCTTCTCCCACAGATAGCCACCGGCCATTCTGGCCACCGAAAGAACCTTGACGGCGGAAACATTCGTCTCCGGTTGCTGTCTCTCGCCAGTCAGCCCAGCCAGCTAGCAAAGCGAAGCAAAACACAGGGAGAAAAACCTTTCCTGCTTCTCCAGTGGAGCATGTGAAAAAACAACTCACTTAATTTCACTCCCTTCCAACCTGTTGAGCGTTTGCTCTCTCGTAAAACCAAATAGCTAGGACCCTGCATTCATGTAGTTCAACTCCTTGGCTCCAAGAAGAGGGATTTGGAAATGGCTGCTCCCTTGGGCTGACCTGCTGTCTATCTGCTCTTTGGACTCTCTTGTGGCTCCTCTACTAGTCAATCAAGGAGAAGACTGTAACTCCCAACTCCTGGGACAATGTTTGCTCCTTTTTATCTTTCAGCTGTGTGCAGAGGGAAGAGGCCAGGCCCAATTCAGATAAATAATTCATGCCAAGTATGATCTCTCTCTCTCTCTCTCTCTGGCTCAATTATCTACCTATAAACTACTGATCATAGTTGCCCAGCAGGATGGTATTTGGTGCAGGTGAGTTAAACACTGAGACTCATAGGCACGATCAAAATGAAGCCCGAAAGATGAAAATCCCTTTTATTTCTCTCCTGGGAATCTCTAGTTTTTCCTCTGGCACACACATACCCCGGGAGGCAGAGAAAAACCACTGCTCAGCTCTGGCTTTCTAAGAACTTTTGTCTTCTGCACCACAAAATTGACCTGCCATCCACACACAGTCTTAATTTTGCTCAATAGAGCATCAATGTTTGCCATTTGGTCAAGCTGTGTGTATTTTTTTCAATGAAAAGTCCCCCACCCACCCCCCGTCCTAAAAATAAGCCACTTTTGTATACTCTTGTTCACAGCTCACCAACAAATGTTCTTAAGCATCAGACAACTGCTGAATGAACCCTAACAAGCCTCTCTCGAACTTTTACAAGTTTTACACTGTGAACGCACAGTGGCTTGCCATTGCCGAAGCTGGCAGACGCATCTGCATTAGGCCCCTCTCCCATGAGTAAAAGCAAAAATATTTCTCTTTATGCTTCTTCCTCAACTCTGCATCTTTACATGGGTACAAAATGCATGCCTAAATTCAGAAATCTCACATTCTGGAGCAGAGACTCAAAAGCAGACATTTTAAACCCTTTGTTGAGTTGAGACATATGCCTGGGTTAAAGATCAATCTGTCCCCCCCCCCCACTTTTTGGTGTAGGAACACTTGGACATTTATAAATGAGAACACCTCAAGCTCCGTTGATCTGGATCTCCATGGTATCTCTGCGAGTACAGATAGCCCTTTAAGCAGAGCAACAGCTCCCTCTACTAACTACTTGAAGATGCAAGGGTAAAAGGATCAGAAGGTATCCGACAGCCAGAGGAGACGCCTTCAAGCTGAAACAAGGAGGGGAACAAAACATTTGCATAACTCCCCCTTCATGAAGGGAGTTAGCACCTGAGCGAGCTGCACACAAGGCCGTTCCATGCACACCACTGTTTCCTGTCTATCTCCCCAAACAAAATCATCCCGTCACACAACAATGCTGCTACTCTCAGCTGAAGGTTGCAGAGTGGGTGGGGAAAAGCACGTGCCGAGCCCACTCGCCAACGAAAGAGAAATCCTGCAAAAGAACCCTGTGAACACAAGCAACAATGCCCTGGTTGGCAGTCAGCCTGGAGACTCTCCCGTGGAACCTCGCCAACCACATTTTTGCAGAGAAAATAACACCACCTCCTCCTCAGCGCCAGAACAAATGGGCATTTTGTGCCAAGACTGGTTAAGGATCAGGTCAAAGTGAGGGGTTCGTGGCTTCCTACCTCTTCCCTTTGGGTTCACTCCCCACCCTCACCCCGCCAAAGAGAGGCAGACAAACAAACAAACAAACAGCCAGGAAAATGCCAAGAAAGATGCATGAATCCAGGAGGGCCAGACGGTGCTTTCCCACAATGCCTCAGTGCTGGGAAAACCCAATTCCGTCACATCCTGGCCCTTCCTCAGTGACGCTCCGTTTCGTCCAGTGCTGGAGTTCAGTCGGCACCATGCTTTCTTCTCAGTACACAAGCTTTTTCTTTCTTCTTTAAAAATCTGGAGATTTTATTTTTTTATATATATATATATATATATATATATATTCATTCTCTATGTACATATATTGCACGCATCCTCTGGCCGCATGTGTTCCCGCCTGCTAATAGAACCGTTTTCGTTTCTCCTCCGACTCGGGCCGATATTCACGAGAGCCAATGCCTTTCTGAAGGTTAATGAGGGATTCCTTCATCTGTAGCAAACACACAAGTTTGGAAATAGCAAGGTTGTCTGGGAGGTTATGAGAGAGCAATGCTCAAAAACCAGCATGCAAATAAAACCACCATGGAAGAGTCATGTGGCAACTTAACAAATCTAGTAGATTTATGGCATAACCCACATGATTTCCGTGTCATCAGATGCCTCCGCTATGTATGGAGGCAGGAGTAAAATAGAGCCAGGGGTGGAATTAGGAAACAGAATTTTTTTTTTGAATTTCCATTCCATAAGGACACTAGAATATGTGGTGAGGTGATCAAAGTATTGACTGGAGAGATTTAATCCCCCCTTGTCCATTGAGTTTACTAGTGACTTTGGCCTACTTATTTCTCAACCCAACCTACTTAATTATTATTGTGCGAATAAAAGAAAGGGTAACCCCATGGATGCGGTCTTGAGCAACTTAGAGGAAAGACTGGACACAAATGGAAGAAATCAATACATGTGCTGAAGTGGCTTGTTATTTCATCTGACTTGCCCATAATCTGTCCACAACCCCACGGTTTCTCCCCTGGGTTGGATGTAGCTCTCACCTGATCTAGGAGAACCACTGATGATTTGATGATCTCTCGCCACTTCTGGAGCTCCGTGTCATGATATTTCTGCTGGGACTCTAATAACTGGGCCCACTCAGTCTGGGATTGGGGTAACCTGTTGAGACCAAGAAGCAAAGATAGAAATGTAACCACAGGAAGCCAGCTGGGTGTTTTGGGGACCCTTTCTTGCAGCCAAAATTACCCTGGGATAACAGGGCAGAGTATCATGCATGCCAACGTGAGCTCCTTGAGGGAACAGTGGTGGGTCAATGGGTTTAATCATAGTAATTGTGAGTCCCCATGTACAGAGAATGTAGTTAAGGGAGTCTTGGGCTAGGTCACCATAGGGGTCGAATCTTATGTCTGCATCTGTTACCTTTCCTGTAAACGTAAACCCTGCCACGCCGTCAGGGTCTGAGTGGTGTATTCCAACATCCAGAGCTTGTAGAACAGCAACATATTAAGGATGACCAAAAGCACCAAACTGGGGAAGAGGAGGAAGAAAAAGAGGATTATAGACAAGCAATCTTAGCAGCAATCCTTGCTCCCTGCTCCACAGTTATTTTTTTTTTACCTGCCGCAATCAAGAGACTCTGAGGGGGTTACCATCTCAACAATAAAATGTCCACAGCATAAGCAATTTTTCATCACAAAACACAATACCTGAAGCATGGATCAAATCATAAAATAACTAATCAAGAAGCAATAAATGCAGACAGTGGCATTTTTAACTGAAAGGGCTTCTTCAACAGTTCTGTTTTTAATGATTTCCTGAAGCCTCACAAGGTAGGGGATGATCAAATTTTGGGGGGAAGGTTGTTCCACAGCACTGGCAAAGCTACAGCAAAGCAACATTTGTAGGCCTTCTGGAATGTGCTATAATGGCCAACCTCTAGGCCAGCCTTTCCCTACATTTTTTCTCTAGAACAATGTTTTTCAAACTTGGCAACTTTAAGATGTGTGGACTTCAACTTCCAGAATTCCCCAGTTGCCAAGTTTGAAAAACACTGCTCTAGAAGAATCTTTGAAATAATTTTCAGCTCTCATGGAACCCTTGCCTAAAAATTATTATATCTATGGCTATGGCTGATTCATGTGATCAGTAAGTTGTTGATATAATAATCCAATAATAATTGTCATCAACTCCCACCACTGTAGTGCTAGCATTGCATGATGTAGAAAGTTAAAAAAAAGTTTATTCTTTTTCAGTCACCATCTCTTGCAGGATTCTAGTTGAGAAAGGCTGCTGTAGGCTGAATGTGGGCTAAATCTGGCCCTTAAGAGGTTAATAAGGGAGGCACTCTGCTCTTTTTTGAAACTGCTCAAAAGCAGGAACAGTTAGAGAAAAAGTAAAGCATGAAGGTTGGAGAAGAATCTATCCTCCACTTTCATTTCTGAGGTAAAGCTTTGTCAGAGCCAAAACCACTCATCAGGAAACTCCCCACTCCTTGCAAGGAACGTGGGCCTTCTCCATGACACTTCTCACTCTGTGGAATACTCTTTCCCTCAAAATATGGGTGACCCCACCTTGTTAATATCCAGGGGAAAAAAAAAAACATCAGGAGCATTTAGACCCAGCTGATGGTGGACACTTATCTTGGGTTTTATCCTTTGTTTATGATGGGGTTTTATTGTGTGTCTGTATGTGTGTGGAGGTCTTTTTTGTCTGGTTCATATTTCTTGTTGTACATCACTCAGAGATATTTTGATTCCGGCAATAGGGTGTGCTTTCTAAAATATAAAGGAAAGCAGGAGGGGGGGGAAATGATAGCAAGAAGCAGCCCCAGATCTATCTTCATTTGTGTTCAGTTTGAAGAACAGAAAAGAACAAAAGAGATAATTAAAAAAAAAAAGTAAGGCAAAAATAAACAATAAAAGCTGCAGCCCAAGAATGGAGAACCAGCAAATCTAAGTCAAGATCAGGCAGGAAGAGTGAAAGAACCAGCTTGCCAACTGAGATGCAAAGAGAGGACAGTGAGAAAGAGAAGCAGAAGCAGAAGAGAAGGACAGTGATACAAGGGGAAGAAGGCAATACCTGAAACAAATCCTAACGGGAGCAGGAAAGAGAAAAGATGGGGGAAGCGAAGGTTAGGAGCGCACCAGAGCTGAAAGAGAAGAACATCACAGGGAGAGTTCTTCTGAAGGACACACACAGATCAGGGAGATCACAAAGTGACAGAGGGAGAAAGCACCAATGGCAGGTTGGAGTTAGACCCATCAGTATGACAAATATTAGAAAATCAGGTTGACTAGACTCAAGGAAAATGCAAGCTATAAGGATCCATGACCACGGGGAACCTTGAAAAACTGTGGGAAGGCCCCCAGTGGCTCTGACATGGGAAGGGACGAGGTGCTAATCCTTAGCTTGTTCCTAACTTCTACCGAAAGGTTGTCAGAATTCCCACTCAGACACGCCATTGTAGCTTCCAACCTAAGCAGACTATCTATATTTCCATATGCTCTTCCCTAATCCCAGCCCAAACCCAAACCCAAACCAACCAACTCCCAACAGAAAAAGCCTAAACAGGAAAGCAATCCAGATACAGTAAAAATAACTACATAGTAAAACAATTAAGAAGTGGTGCGAAAAGTAAAAGGATAAGCCAAGTTTCTGTCGGAGAGCTGTTAGCGCAGAAGAAGATAACTTTTTCTGATGATGCTTTGTGGAGACTTTCCGTACCAGCAGGTGGCGCTGTTTGAACCTAGCTTGAAAAGAAATCAAATTGTGCCAAAGGGAGTTGATCAGTTTTGGCTTGGATGCAAAAGCTTGTTTGTGAGGTGAAGGGGTGGAAATAACTACAAAGGATACCTGACAAATTATTAAATTTTCATCCTCATTAGCTGCACTCAAATCATCAGAACAAAACAAAACCAAAAACAGTTCTGCTGAAAAAGGAGCAAAGTATCCTTCATTCTCTTATTCTTTCTTACTCTGGTTCAAATTCACCCCCAAAATTAAAATCGAAGCCTTCCTGAATGAGTAGAATTTGGGATTAGAGTCTGCTCTTTTTTCAACCAACATACATTAAATTAACCAACATACATTATTACCTTTAACTAACACACATTAAATTAAAAATACAATGGATTTTTAATTATTGCCAGCAATGTTTTTAAAACATGCTTCAACGTTTCTAGCCTCCATCAAAAAGCAAATGGCCCGGGGTGGCCAAATCATAAACTATTACAATTTTAAAATCTGAGAGAATTACAAAATATATTGTGGTGCATCTATTTAGTATAGGGATGGAAGAGGATGTGCACCCCTCAATCACAGAAATCATAAAACTATGCACGAACCCGGTGGTTCGAATGCTGCTTCTCACTTTTTCAAACACGCTTTTTCCCCCTTAATTTATTATTAGCAGGGAATTCGTTTCACAGCTTTTTCAACCGTTGCCCCACCTTCCCCATTCTCCCTGGCTTCATGTTCTCAAACATTTCTCTAGCTGAATTAACATCTGTTAGGCTTTCTCTCAGCCTTTTCAACCAGGCGCTCTCCAAGGGTCTGAGAAATGGCGGCCCTGGATTTGGCGAGCTGGATGGCAACAGGATGAAAGGACCAATCTTCCCTATGAATCCAAGGAAACCAATCAGCACATTCCCCAAATGCAGACAAACCTGGGATTTGGGATATGAACTCGGACATTACCAAAAAATGGACAAAAGTAACGAATATAATTTTGGAGGAGAGAAATATTGTCAACTGGGAGCAGGAATCAATTTGCAAATACCATCTCCAAGGATTGTGATAAGACTTCCCTCTCTGAGGCAATGACTTGTGAAATGAAGCAGAGAAAGACCAGGAAAGAAAAACACCCAAAATCCATAGCAGAAGAGGAAGAAGAAAACCAAGCCAGGCCAAGGAGTTACTTACACACAACTAATAACAAGCAGTAACTTGGAGACACTCTGCAAGTGGAAGCTGCTGGGACTTTCTTCGGGGATGTGCCGTGTTTGAGTGGAACCTGAAAAGGAACAGGTGTGGTTGACTGGAGGGACACCTTCCAAAGGAATGCTTTCCCCCTCATACCCTCTCAAAGCTAGTTCTGCAAGGAGCAACTTAAGGCTGCTCTTTCAAGCATGCTGAAGATCTCAGCTGCTGGCACCCTCATGTAACCATTTGGGTGGGCGGGGAGATGCCTGTCACAAAGGTATCCTAGAACCAGGCCAGAGAACAAAGACAAAAGGTCTTCAACTGCCAAAGCATCCACCAGAAACTAAGCAAGGTGTGATGTCTAGAAGTCTGTTATTAGAGTAGGAAATCAGTTGATTGCTCCCATACCAGCTAAGGGAGGGATCAGACTTGGCCATTGAGCTGGAGGCTTCCCAACCCTGCTTTAGATATATAATCCTCCAAGAAATATAATGGTTTCCACTGAAGATGCTCGTTCCACACCCTTGATGAGACCACAGAGCTGGATTTCTTCCTGTCCCATCAACCCTGCAACACTTAATCTTTTGCAAGTTGTCACACCCTACCTGCCACACGCTTGATTCGACCTACAACCTCCTCATCTGTGGGAGTGGTAACAGGGCTCAGTACTTCCTCCAGATGAGGTCCCCTCAAGTGCGTATGGGGTCGTTTTCTCCGTCGCACTGAGGATTGTTTGTTCGCCTTCTCTTTGGGTGACTGTCTGTGAAGCTCTGCTAGATATGAACTCTCAGTTTTGGTCAATTCACTCTCTGCCAGGGAGAAGACCGGTGGAAACAAGAAAACAAGGGAAGAAGCAGCATAATTCAGCTTGGTCAAAAGGCAGTTATCTCTTTTCAACCTCCATTCTAGGTCAGAAAGGATGCAATCATTTTGCAGGCGAGACAACATATTCTAAAAAACATCAGCAGTCAGGGTCTGGTGGAGGCATCCCGCTGATGGGTGAAGTCAACTGGAGCAGGGAACCTAAAGTTTTGATGATTTGGGAGGATGGAGTAAGATGTGAGGAGCACATATGAAGGCTTACAGGTTCTTTGTTTTCTACCTAAATTAGACAAAATCAAGACATTTGTTAGGCAATTTGCTAACAAATCTCAGCAGTGTAATCCAGTACTCCATAGGAGACAAAACCCAGGTTGAACAGGAACCTGCAGGCTGGATCACAAACTACTGATCTATTTGCTAGGCCAGGACCAGCATTAGTATTGCAAGAGACCAGAAGCTATTCATCCTCACAAGGGCCTGGAACGATTCCTTGTTACAGGTCTATATACATACCTTTAAAAAATTACTGCTGTATTAGAATGCAGCGCTAAAATCTTAAAATGAGCTCTTCTTTATCAACCTAGATCTTTTAAAAGGCCTCTAGAGATTTATCTATCTAGAGTTTTATGGCTGATTCCATCAAATCCAGCTCTATGCCCCACAAACAAAGAGGCAGTCAAGTAATTCCTTTAGTTGGGTTCTGCAGCCTCTCACCTAAATGGCGAAAATAATCATCTAGGCCACTCCAAAAGTTCTTCTCAATGAAAGATTTCACCAGTCCCCATGGCTGTTTTCTATAACGTAGCTCTGTAGAAACCCTGAAATGAAGAATTACAGAGATGACAGGAACCTCAAAGACCATCTAGGCTCATTATAGGATCCGCACTGCAGCATCCCTAGCAATTGGCTGTCCAGATGCCAGTAAAAGACAAGCCGCCATCCCCAGAGACCTTATATGATCATTGAAGAGTTCATCAAGTATCCCATGTTTAGTTGGCTCACATCTGTTTCCTTGCAAATTTTCACACCAAGTTTGTTGTCCCTGACCTAAACCTCTATTCAAAGTAGTTTCTTCTTCTTTGAAAAATTAATTGCTGAATTATAGGGATGGAAAAACCCCTGACCCGCACAGGATCTGCCAAGTATTACTTTCAGAAATGTATTGTTCCAGGCACAGAAACATACACCAACCAAAGTATTTCAGACAGAAGCCATTAAACGTAAAGAGCACATGTTAATGTCACAGGCCTTCTGTCAAGGGATACCCACCTGAGTCGACATTTGTTCCTGGCAACACGCGTCAATGTGTAACGATTAATTGTGTAGAAATAATCATGGTAGGGAACATCATGAGTTAGCACCTCAGCATCTATAACATAGCACTCACTTTCTTGGCTTGCTTTGTACATTGTCTGGGGAGAGGAGAAAAGCAGTACCATAAATGGCCAGAGTTTGGTCTACTGAGGAAGACACGATCACCATCGTATAACCCAAGTGTCCCTACCTCAAGAAGAACCTCAACATGCATACTTCAAAGACTAAAATTGAGCCTCTTACCTGAGTTTCAGTAACGGTGGCAGTTTTTGGAGCCAGGGGATTAGTGAGAGTGATGGTGTACAGAATAACTCTGCTTTGATTGCCAGTTTCTTCCTTCTTCCATGGATGAAAAACAACATCTAGGGAGAAAGGGAAATGAAAGATGAATTGGGAAGAAATGTTGCGTCATAGAAGGGAGGAGATAATGTTTCAATTCCCAAGGGAAGGAAAAAATGTTCTCCCATGACCAAAGTCAAAGATCAAATATCTACTGACCTCACCTTCCTTTAGCTGGCAGATCCAACACAACAGACACAGAACAGCTACTGTTTAGCATGAGTCCTTAACTTGTTCAGGCTCAGTTCCGTTTTATTCAAAGGACCACTATTGGTCTCTCTTTTTAAAAAAATAAAACTGATGCTGAGCAATAGACAATTGTTCCTATAAAGACTGACTTTCTTCTGAGTTCTTTCAGATCCAGAGATTGCAGGACTGCATCCCGTTAAGAGGATGCAAGAGTCAAAAATTCCTCTCAAGTTTGGTGTTATCCTCAGGAACCTGAAAAACATCTTAAAGAAAGCCTACAACCTATGCTTCATTCCTCCAAATGCCGGATTCTTTCTCCCGTTACCTTGCACCTTTATTAGCTCAATTTCATCCAAAGCAACACTAAAAGGAAATTTGGAAAGTTCTGAGGTATCATAAAAGAAAGCCACTAAAATGGCAAGATGGCCCTTAAGTGTGTTTTGCAGAACTTTAATTTGCTTGAATCAAAACTAAAGAAGTCCTGTTGGGGTTTTAAAAGACCGTGGGTTGTTTAAAGAAATGATTTTGATAAGACTAGTGACATGTGTACAGGGACTTACAGAACCCAAGAGAACTTGGGTTTTTAAGCAACTTGCTAACGTTTCTCAGAGGATTGCATTTCTCTGGGAAATCCACCCATTGTGGGCACCAGGAATAATCTGAAAGCTGATTCCATCTCTGAAGTCCATCTAGTAATCCCTTTTACAATAACCTGAGCTTCTTGAATAAACAGTACAATACTAATTACGTAAACAGGGAATATATTTATTCTTTTTCACCTGCAAGGCTATTTTCTACAACTTAATCTTCTGATATTGTCAGAAGAGAACTAGGCAATATAGAAAGATCAGTAAGAAATGGGACCTCATAGTTGCTTGGGCCAGAAGTTTAAAATTATAAAAAATGAATTTAGGAGGATTAATTAATTTTTCCTCTTTCCGATCTAAATTTTGGAACTCAAACTTTTGGAATTGCTGTACTCTGGAGGTTCAAAGGATTTAGCCGTTGGAGATTCCTGGTCCATTCACAGAACAACAGCAGCTTTGTAGATAACCCTGAAAACCTACTGTACCATTTTTGTATCTAAAATGGCTTTGAAATCCGGCATGAGCTCTGGGTGAGATAAAGCCAGCTGAAACACAAGGCTACTTACAGTATATGTGCTGGTGAGTGCCAAGCTTACCAGAAAAGCGTCGTTGCTCCATGAAATCCCTTAGGAACTGAGAGTTTGTGAACAGCAAATCATAGAGCTTATCCACACTAAAGTTGAAGACTTCATTCATGTATTGTCGTCCATTCAGATCTTCATAAAAGGCCTGGACCTCCCCTGAAGAAAAAAGTGGAAAGCTAACATGTCAGATTCCCAGGAGACCTATCTTGACAAAGCAATAAGCACAGAATTTTAACTCCATATCAAAACATAACACTGATGCTTCCAGTAGTGGAAACAGGCCTTGGTCCAAACAGCTAAATCCAGCCCTGTTCATAAAGTCATCCCTAAAATAACTATTTAGTTAATCTGGGCTGATATCAGTTTTCTACACATACATGACTGCAAAATCAATTCACAAAGTGAACTGTAAATGCAAAAACTTCAGACGTCTTCAAGACAACTTGTCCCACCTAAAATGCACCCTTAAGGTCACTATCATTTGAAGGGCTTCCTCACAAGTCAAAAATCTCATTTGACTTCTTCACTAATATCAAACTTTTCTCTAGCATAATTCTTACGAAATCCTATGGAATTTGCCACAAGGATATTCACGGAGCCTGTAACCATTACCCTAAAAATATAGATTCTCTAAGTAATCCAACAGAGAAATAGTAATACAAAAGGACTGTATTTTTCTCAGAAAAATTAAGATGAGAAGAATACAGATGTGCTGAATATCAAGTGATACAGAACTCATTAACTTAGAAGCCCAGGTCAGCTATTATGATATCAAACAGGGGTAAGACACGGAAGGACAATAAACCCTAACCCCACCATGACACCTGTGGATGCCAGCCAAGCACCTTCATCATGAGTCTCAGAGGAATCACTGAGTTCAGTTGGAATGTCCTCATTGTCATTGAAATCCAGAGAAGGAGAATTCACAGGGGCAATTATATCAATCTTATCTCCAATGAGGCTTGCAATTGTCATCTCCTTTTCAGCCGGTGTCTCCAGAACCTCCTCTTCTTCAGGAACTACCCCTTCATACTAGAAGGACATAAAGAAGATCATCAATCATTGTTGCCTTAGGAAAGCTGGAGCTGCCACCTGCTGACTATCTGTAAGTTAGAGGAGTTGAGTGAAGAGATCGCTCATGAGCGCAATATCAAAGGAAGGGCTTCTTATTTTTTATGTGATTAAGACAAAGGTAGAAATCTCTGAAATTATGAGCAAGGGGCAGCCTTTTTCTTTTTCCTTAGGAGGAAATCTGTTCAAGTCTAAACTTGGTAGAAGAAATAAGAATGCAAAGTGGGGATGGCTATTGATGATGGCTTGCAGTGATGTCGACTCTAGCATCTCTTTTCCTTGAACTCTCTCCTTCCAACACCCTCTTTTTTATTACCTCCTTATCCTGCCAGGGAAGAGAGGTGTCCCTCTAGATCAGTGTTGTCCAAACTTGGCCACTTTAAGATGAGTGGACTTCAACTCCTGAAT